GCTCTTTTATGACTCTTGGACTTCATGCTGGCTCAGAAATTCTGGGAATTGAAGTCCACGACTCATAAAAGAGCCAAGGTTGCATACCCCTGGTCTAGTGGTTAAGGCATCAGGCTATAAACCAAGAGACTGTGAGTTCTAGTCCCACCTTAGGTAAAAGCCAGCTGGGCTACTCACAGTCTCTCAGCCCTAGGAAGGAGGCAAGGGCAAAGCACTTCTGAAAAACCTTGCCAACAAAACTGCAGAGACTGCTCCAGGCAGTCTCTGAGAATCAGGCACAGCAAACAAAAAACATCCTCAAAACCTAAGGTAATGCAATCCACAATGCGACCTTTTCCTTTTATGAATAGCCACCTTTCAACCCAGAATATAATTATGGACTAGCCTTGGGTTGAGCCCTGTATCCTCAGTGATGTCTAGCTTTTTCAGGCAATTTAATTCTTCTATTATCTTATGCAGATGGAATTGGATGCATCGATGTGGCAAGATAGCAGGCTTTATTGATGTATTTATGCAGAATTAACTTGCTAAGTCTTATGCTTCCCAATACTATAGAATGTAGAAGCAACCTTGCAGAAGCTAGCCAGATTATTTATAATGCCAATGCCGCATTAGAGTTGAATAGAAAATGATCAGTGAAAACCAGGAACCATCCTACAGTTGCAACCATGCCATAAATTGTCTGCTAAATATTTAGAGACATTGTATGCCTAAATCTTATGAACATGATGAAGGAAAGAAAGTCTGTTAGAATATCATAATTTTTCTTGTCTATTAATATTGTATGCACTATAGCTCTGCTCCCCATGATAGTCTAACTTTTGCAGTCAGTGCAATAACCCTATCTATGAACAATGGTGGAACTCAAATACCTGAACAACTGGTTCTCTTATTCAATGCAGGCCTAGAATGGACTTCTGGAAATGGCATCCATGCACTTCTAGGCATGGGAGGCCTCCTCCAATCTTCCGAGGCCTAGAACGGACTTCCGGAAGTGACATCCATGCACTTTCAGTGGGCCGTTCTAGGCCCAGGAGGCCTCCTCCAGGGATCCAAGGCCTAGACTGGACTTCTGGAAGCCAGCCAGTTCTCCAAATGCAGCAAACTTTAGCTACCAGTTCTGCCAAACTGGTGTGAACTGGCTGAATCCCACCACTGCCTGTGAACCCCCCCCCAACACCAATCTCCTCTTCAGTGATGAAAACTGTAAAGACATAAATGTGCACTGTGTCTTCATTCCTTTGATAATTTGTCCAATTTGTGCAATTGGCATCTGATATGATATTGGCTCCTCCTCTGGATAAAGTCCAATCCTGTTTATATTACAGTGCCAATTATAATTTGTTCTTTGGATTAAAGTAACAGTTCTGAGAATGAAGGTGAATTGCAATCTACAGATATTGCAGAACAGTTTGGACTTTGCTTGCAAGAAATAGTTATTTTGGGTGGGCAGGTAGGCCTGTGAGATAATGGCTCCCCACAATAAATAAACAGGATTATTTGTCTTTCTTTCAAGGCAGATGTCTGAAGGAGAGTTCTGTTTTAAATTGACCAGACATTACTGTCTCTTCAAGGACATGGCAACTGCAGGATTTTATCAGTTGGGAATGCATTTCATTAGATCAAGTTTGTCCCCAAATTTTCTCAGACACAAATCTGGGTCTTTCCATGTCTGCGTCCCAAGAAGAGTCAATATATGAAATTCTAGGAGTTGAAGTCCACACATCTTAAAGTTGTCATGTTTGAAAAACACTGAACTACAGCAGGTGACGTACACAGCCCTGGTCAGAATCTAGAAAATAATTAGGAACATGTGCAAATCACTTTCAATTGAACAGGGAGGCATGTCAGGTTCTGAAAGAAAACACAGAGACCCAGTGGATTGAAAGTGCCAGCAAAATTTTACTTGCAAAGCCCCCTAACTAAACAAATAAGATGAATTGAAATAAAGAATAACTGAGCATCTAGAACAGCACAGAAACAATAGAATAACATTGCCTACATTGAAGCTTATTCCAAAGAGTCAACTAGCACAAGTATTAAAAGATGCATTACGGTACCACCAATATAAGCTATGTAAAGATAAGACTGCCATACATCAAAAATATCTCAGAAACCGCCAACAGATTAATACATCCAGATGTCATCACTGTAGCACATAAACAAACCAAAGCCCCCCAAAGCCATCTTAAGTAAACCCAAAGACCCAAGTAGTTCAAGAAGAAAAAATAGAAATCATCTGCAAAGTACAGTGCAAAGACTCTAACGGTCACTAGGTAAGACAGACAGGTAGAAGACTAGCAAAGGGCATCTTGATCACCAATTAGCAGTCAAAAGACATGATGAAAACTCCTTAATCTCACAACATATGGACAGACTTAACCATAGTTTCAATTGGGAAATTATGAACATCCTTAAACCAAGCCAAACCCCAAAATACTAGAAAATTCCAGGAAACTTGACATTCAGACAAATCCACCATTAACAGGTACATAAACCACATTTATACACATTCAAAAGAGAAAATAAAACAAGTAAAAACTAAACAAAAAGGTCAGAATATTTTCAAGCAATCGTTGCCCAGATAAGCAGATAACACCAGGAACAACATCAGACAAATAATCAAGCAGTAAACAACAGCCTAATCAAGGGTCTACCAAGAAGAAAACAACACCCTCACCAACACTGACAGGCAAGTTCCTGTATAGAAACAGAAAGAAAACTCCCTTGTAACACTGAAGATGTTATATAATCTGGTAACGAAGCCTCTATAAGAATTTTGGGGGAAAATATTTTGTCACTTCTTTTAGCGGTGCCCTGTAGTTGATTCCCTGCCTAATAAAGGAGGAGAACCAGGTTCCTGGTGGCGTTCTCCATTATCTATAATAGTCATAGCCAAAGCAAGGAGTAATGATTTTAGCATCTGTATTCATTTCTTTCAGTAGTATATATGTGTAGTGGGTGTAGGGTGAGCTGAAGAGACAGTACGGGGAGATGCCTAGGGGAGGAGTCAGGAGAAGGCAGGGAGGAGTTGAGTCTGCTGAGGCCTAGGTTGGAGAAGATAAGCCTGGGAGAGGAGACAATAGGGGAGAATGGGAGAGGCTTCTGTGGGGCAAGCCTGAGGGAGAGAAGGGAATAGGATATGGCAGGCTTCTGTGGGGCAAGCCTGAGGGAGAGAAGGGGATAAGTCTGAGAGAGAGAGAGAGAGAGAGAGAGAGAGAGAGAGAGAGAGAGAGAGAGAGAGAGAGAGAGAGAGAGAGAGAGAGAGAGAGAGAGAGAGAGAGAGGGAGAGGGAGGCAGAGAGATGAAGAAGAAGAAGAAGAAGAAGAAGAAGAAGAAGAAGAAGAAGAAGAAGAAGAAGAAGAAGAAGCGCTGACCAGCCACCTGAACACTTTCTCTGCACGTGACCTGCCTGCTAAGAAAGACTGAGCACCAGCCCATCACATGACCTGTCTGCAGAGAGAGATTGACCACCACCTCATCACGTGCTCCAGCCAAGCAGAGGTGCCTAAGTGAGGGGCCAGGAGAATCTGGACTCCAGCAGCCCTTCTGGGGTTAGCACTACATATGAATATTGAAAAGGGAGAGAAGTGGGAAAAGTAGCCGTATTGTACCTTTGGAATCAAACTTTCTTGCTTCAGATGGTGGCAGAAAAAATGGTTCTTTGACTTGCTATGTTTTTAAAGTCTTATTTTTCCAAACTGGCATACAACAAATGAATTTGCTGCTATTTGACTTCAATCAGACTTTGGTGTGCTTTTTTGTCTGTAACACTACTGTCACTTCAGTATCAATATCTGCACTGGATTCTTTCCAGATCTTGACCAATTACAAATACTTCCAAAACCTGAAGTGGACTTTTAACACTACAAAAATGTCTGGGAGGAAAAACTAGATTTGATTTCTTGTCTTTCTTAGTTATAAAATAGATGTCTGCATGACATGGGAAATGTATTTTGTTTTGAATCTGAAATGGAAATATTGTGACTTAGAAAGTCTGCCAAACCATTCTAGGTGGGCTGCAGTTCAAGAGAATCAAAACCTGGAATATTTGGATTGTTTTGCATTTCAACCAGAACAAAGTTTAGAGAGATATCAGCAATCAAGCATAGCAAGTCAGGTATATCTTACCCCTCTTCTGCAGAGGTCTGCAGGGCAACCTCTCCTTTTTTCTTATCAGCTTCCTTTCCCTACAGTCATTGAATACCTCCCTAGCTCCACCTTAACATGTAATGGCCGCTGTCTTTGACTTTTCCCCCACTCTCTCTACTCCTCAAAATCTTCACCATTTCTGGCTTCCAGTTTGCGATTGCAGCGCTGGCGGATGTGCAGTGGGAGTGCTCTCTCTGCCATCCGGTTTTTCTTTGTTGGGAGACCCTGAAAAGGGTCGAAAGTCGCCCTGGAGGGGCAATGACCATGAGGAGGAATTGGATGAGACCTTGCCTTACCTTTCTTGTATCCCAACTATCTTCCTGTAAAAGCCTATTAAAATTTATTTCCTCCTTTTAAGATGGCGGCGTCTGCCTACTTTGGGAAAATGAAGCTTTGAAAAGAAAAGAACAACTAAACTAAACAACTAAATCATTGGACTTGCACTTTTTGGATATTTGGGGTCCCCAAAAGTTCCCATTTCTACAGGGACCTATTTCCTTATCTACTTGCTAAGTTGAAAAAAAAAATTAACTGGATAAAAGCCTAACTTGAGTTTGGAAAAAAAATACATGTTATCGGGGACATCTTGTGGCGAAGCCTGGTATAGCAAGTGAATTTCTTTGACTGTGAGAACTGCTTACTGCCTAGATTGGTACTTGATACTATCTAAAAAAGATAAGAATTTGAAACAGCTGGGTGGTGAAAACAACTTTTAGATATAGTGGAGGTGGACATCCACTGACTTTTATCAAAAATAATCTCCACTAAAGGACTATCTGTAAACACCATAGAAATGGAGGAATACTACCCACAACTTAACTAAAAAACTTATATTTGAAAAAATATAAATACTCTGGTTTCTCTTCAGATCGTATAAATCTTTCGCCTTTTACTAAAGATTTCCGTGGAGAGGAACATTTATGAGTTTTCATATAAATTTGTTTGGGCAGGGAAAAAACCAAGGGTGAAACTTAAAATAATGCAAGATTTTCGTGAGAGAGGCGGACTCAAGGTACCAAATATGAAATTGTATTATGACGCTGTAGTATTAACATTGATCAGCGACTGGGTGAATTTAACAAATATAGAAATACTTCATTTGGAAGGTTGGGATTTACTTTTTGGATGGCATGCCTATTTAATATTTAATAAAAAAGTGGATTGGGTTTTCAAGTCTCATATTATAAGAATCTCTTTGCTTAGAGTGTGGAGAAAGTATTATAAAAGTGACTTCAAAATACCATTATGGGCTATACCTCGGCATGCCATAGAAGGCATAAGGAAAGGGGTTAATATGGATATGGTCTCTTATGCACAGTTACTTAGATGGGATGGCCAAGATTGGCAGTTAAAATCTTTGGAAGAATTAACGCATGAAAATTTAACTTATTCATGGTTCCAATACAGACAAATAGTGGACAGATGGAAGATGGATTGTAAAATGGGCTGGCTTAGAGAAGATGAAGCTCTTTTAAAACAAGTAAGAGATCAAAGGCCAACCCATATTAAGAGAGTTTATGGGGTTTTAGTGGAATTGGACTCAGAACCTGAATTAGTTAAAGATTGTATGATTAAATGGGCACAGAATATTGGTGAAACGATTTCAATGGATACCTGGGAACTTATTTGGATAAGAAATGTTAAATTCACACAAGCGCAAAATTTAAGAGAGAATTTTTATAAGATGTTTTATAGATGGCACCTTGATCCAAAGAAAATGTCCATTATGTACCCTAATCTGCAGCCGAAATGCTGGAGATGTGGACATTTGGATGCTACTTATTATCATACTTGGTGGACGTGTAAGCATATAAAAGCTTTTTGGATTAAGATATGGTGGAATATCCAAAGAATTTTTAAACGGAGGGTAAAATTTACTCCGCAATTATTTTTACTAGGTATTGTTACTGATTGTGATGCTAAGGAGGTTATATTGATGTTAAATTTGATTACAGCCGCTAGGCTGTTAATAGGGCAATATTGGAAGAAGGAATCCTTGCCTACTTTGCAAGAGTGGTTTCATAAAGTTTCGTATCTGGCAGAAATGGCAAAGATTTCGGCTTTTTTAAAGGAGCAATCTCAAGAGAAATTCTTTGCAGTATGGGAAAAATGGATAAATTTCATACAATATAATTTGGATATGGAAAAATATCATTTAGCTTTTTTATAACTTGTAATGATTGTTTTTTCCTTCTTTCTTTCTTCCTTTTTTCTTTACGTATTATTACTTATATATTTTTTTATATATATATGTTCTATTTTTCGTCTACTTTTTTCTTTTTTCTCTCTCTCTCTCTTTTCTTTTTCCTTTTTTTTCTCTCTTTCTTAGTACATATTATTCATTTTAAAGTTTATGTTATGCATATTATTAATATACATATTATTATATATATTATTATTATGATCTTTATTATTTTTACTAATTATCTTATAAATTGTAAACGTTATTTTTTAAAATTTGTTAAATAATCCTATATTCAGTTCTGGGAAGTCGGGGGGGGAGGGTGGGGTGGTGTGTGGGGGGGGATGTTTATTTGTAAAATTTTTGAAAAATTTCAATAAAAAAAAAAAAATAAAATAATCTCCACTAAAGGACTATCTGTAAACACCATAGAAATGGAGGAATACTACCCACAACTTAACTAAAAAACTTATATTTGAAAAAATCCTTGAAGCTACTGAGCTAATGAATTCCAGATTGAAAGACAAAGGTGCCACTTTAAATTTACAAAATGAAGCCCAGATTTCAAATGATGAATTTACAATCCAAAAAGCAACAGAAGAGGAACAAATTAATATCAAATAGGACTTTAAAGAACAACAAGTACAATTTACTGAGAACTTTGATAGTCAAACCTTGATTTCAACTAAAAAAATCTGCAATTCAAAAAGCAACAGAAACCAAAGAAAGCAACACTAAGATGGAGGGTGCTAAAGATCAACAAGTACAGTATATTGAGAACCTAGATAACCTAGATAATCAAACAACAGTCACAACATTGGACATGACCTCTTACTCAAGCCAGATGAAACCAGAAGAAGAAGAAGACCAGACTGAACTGATGATAAATATTCTAAACCGAACATGGAGATGTTAGGGCAACAACCCAATGATTATAAAGGGGCCAGTTCCTTTGAAAAAGGTCCACTTGAGGATTTAAAGGCACTGGTATGGAAGCCTGCTTGGCACAAAAAGAAAGCTAGAGTTAAACTTAAAAAATGGTTTTTTTTTCTTTTGACTTATAGTGGAAGAGCCTAAAATCTTACTTAACAGGCTAAGGAGATTTTAAAAGATATTAATTGACTTAATATTTAGGACTTAGATTTATAAGAGAAATGAAAATTAGCCATTAGAATATAGTTTTGAATTACAATATGGACGTTGGATTGAGACAATAAAGGATACTTTATTAGTAAGTGATGAGGTACTAGGATGAGAAATAGAATCTATTTGTGAAATAAAGTAAGGATGTATTTAAGTAAACAATATGTGTATTTTAGATATGACAACTATTTTGTAATGAAATAAGGAAAATTTGGGCTCCCCAAAATTTAAATATTGTGGATATTAAAGGCTAAACTGGAACATTGTAATTGAAAATAGGTAAAATTTAAAAACAGGATACGGATATGTATAAGTTAAAATATATTGATAAATGCCTTAATTGAATGAGATATAATTAGAAATGTATTAATTTGAATATAATATAATAATCAAGGGAAGTAGAGAGGGAATTTTTGATAATATAACCTGAGACATGTACGAAAGATCTTGTTACTGGACTATTGATTACCCAATCACCATGCTGCTTCCTAAATACTTGGATGTAAAACTGGAAAATTAATAAAACTTGTTTTTTAAAAACAATCCTCACCATTTCTGTTTCAGTCTTGATAGAAATTGCTTGCAACTAGATATCCCATGTACAGGTAATGTTTTCCATATCTCTATTATAAAGCAGTTGTAGAATAAATAATTGAACTGATTAAATATTGTATTAAGGATTTATCCAACTGAGAAGAAAAAAAACTTCAGCGTCATATTACAGCCTTGTACCTATCTCGACAGCCTGTTTATTTAGAAAAAAAAATATGCACTTTCCTTCACCCATACTTCTACATTCAGTATAAAATTGAAAAATAAAAATAACAGAAGTAATTTAACTAAACAAAATGAATCGCATTATGCAGAAGAGTCTTCTTATCTGTGCACTCAAACTAAATCAATCTCAAATGTTATTCTGTCATTAAACAGTATTTGAAAGTTACACATGGAAATTTTAGATAGATAGATAGATAGATAGATAGATAGATAGATAGATAGATAGATAGACAGACAGACAGACAGACAGACAGACAGACAGACAGACAGACAGACAGACAGACAGACAGACAGACAACCTTTGCCATTTTTTACTCTGGGCACAATGGCACACATTAAAAATAAAATTTAGTTGCTTGCTCTCAAAGTGTACACGTACATAACACACATTTAAACATACTATACACAACATATGTATAGACCTACATCCTTACATATAAGTAACATAGAACAGGGTTTGGACAGGGCTCCATTAATAATATGAGAACTAGTGTTAAGTGGAAAGAAGGCTCCCCATAATTTGTTTATTAACTCATTAGCAAAATTCATTAGCAAAAATACTTGACTTTCCATAACACAAAAATGCCTAACATTTTGGGGCAAACTATTCCAGAAAAAAGAAATATTTCCATAGTCCTGCCTTCTGGAGATAATACTCCATGACTGTCCTGTTACTTCTGGACACCTTGATAGCCCAGGACTTGGGAAATGGAATTCTATTTGCATTGCTATGGGAGTAGGATACTGTGGTGATTAAGGCTAGAGACCCTGAGTTCTAGTCTCACCTCAGCCACATAGCCAGTTAGATGACCTTGAACTAGAGACTCTCTCTCAGCAGGCAACCAGCCACTCTCTCTCCCAAAAAACATTTCTGAAATCTTGACTCCAGGAGTCAACAATGATTCAAAGACAGCAAAAAATAAAACTAAAAATCAGAGATTGGAGATTGCATCATCACTTTGCATCTATGAGCTGTTTTGACCAATAAGACAAATGGTGAGCTATACAGTGAAAGATAGATATGACTACAATCTTCACATGCTCTCCCTGCACCTCTTCCCTTTCCTGGTACTATTTCTGTGCCACGAACATCTGTAAAGGAAGGAAGGAAGAATTCAACAAGTGTCTTTTTCTGGTTTATTAAATAGCATCCTGTGAAAACACATGTAAATCTACAAGTCATTTAAGAAAAATAAATGTTTAATTGGGATGCATTCTTCTAAATATTGAGCATCAATAGGAAGACAAAGCAGGCTGATCAACTTCTTCTAAAATCAAATTATAGAGGATAAATTTTTTTAAAAAATCATTATTGTGGCAATTTTTCTTCAAAAATGATTAATATTAAATATCCATTCAAACTGATTCAAAATTATTGTATTGTTTAATATTTAAATGTTAACACGATCAATTTATTTTTGAGATGAAAGAGAAGAAACTTCATGGTGTGACTAGTAAAGAAAGGAACACTCCAGAGATCTATCTTATACATTTAATTTATTGTTCATATTTTTACCTAAGACTCAGGTATCATATGTTCTCTCTGAATGTTCAGTACATATACTGTAGCAAAATGAGGAAAAGGGAGGGGAGAAAATCCCAAATACTGCAAAGCTATTTCCTAACATAGCTTTTTATACCAAACATGTTGGCAGCTGTTAACCAGACAAAGAATACAAAATGAGTGATGTTCCAGAGAACTGGGTGACCTTGCCACCAGTAAATCTATGTGGACAGGTTGGAAGGAAAGCTTGTGTCTATAGGGCAAGACAGACAGATGACAGTTTTTGTCCCAAGGTAAGACAACTCACTTGGTGGACACAACAGGCAATCTGGATGCTACATCTGTATTCCAGATG